ATTTAAACAATATGTTTTGAGATTTTCCTAGCATTTTAGATAAAAAAAAAGGCGATTGACTTACAAAATACATTAAGAACATTCAAAACATGTTTTTAGACCTATTAATGGTTATGGAACAGTATCATACTGTTTACTGCTAAATACGACGTTCCTAGCGAAAAGGGTACGATATTTCGTTCTTCGTTGGAGAGTGATTTTTTTTTCATAAGCGTATTTTTGACAACACTGTAGAATATGGCGTAATCAAATTAGTTCTCAGAAATGCTTCAAGTTGATTTCATTTCTTGCAATAGCATTTAAACACAAAACATAAAATATTTAATGTATGAAAAGATTGCTATTGAAAATAACATCCAATTCTTAAAAACTATTTCTAGCAAACATGAATGGATCTGTTTTACGACAACGAACTCAATTTTCATAAGTAATCATAGCTATCACTTTGACAGCTTATTGAAATTATTTAAACTTTAAAATTAAAGCTAGTTCTGATACTATTTCGAAAATTTTTTTATTATTAACGCTTTAATATCAATTGTGGTAGTTTTATTAAAATTTTTCCCTATTTTTTGCACTGAAATGATATTGAATAATTTTTATTAATAATGCACTATAGGAGACTGTCGAACGATAAAATTTTTAGAAGTAAATGCTAAAAATGATAAACTTATATCACCGAGTTCTATTCTTTTTTGGGTCATACAAAATAATTTTTGCGAATTATTGCGATTATTACTACATAAAACTGATGATTAATCGTTGGCAATAAAGTGCTGGAACAAGCTGAACTATAAGCTAAGTTTAAATAAATGATTAAAAGCGAATTGTTGAGATTAGCAGACAGCCTGTGCAACATATGCGTTTTAAATAAACTTGAAAATTAACGCAGTTTCTAAAATAATTTAAAACTATGTATATTTTTATTTTAATCATATTTAAAAATGTGCACCGAGAGAAAGGCATTTTAATAAAACAGCGGAACTGAAGCAACAAAAATCTGACGAAAATGCTTTTGAAATATGTAGTATGTTCTAAGTAGAGACAAAATTTTAATTTCACTATCTTAATCAAATTAGACTTGTTTTGCATTTTAAACAACATAAATATTATATTATAAATTCTGTTTTTGAGGTACAATTGTTCTGTCTACTGCTCTTAATCCATTACTGCCCATTCATAAAAAAGGGGTCTGTATATGATGAAGTGAAAATAATCTAAACTCGTTCTGCTATGATTTAGGAGTGTTAAAGAAATAAGTGTTGTTTTTTTGTTTTAATTTAACGTATTAGTGCTACTTATTATATTCTTTTAAAATGTCGGATTTTTTTTACAAAAAATAAAAATGTGGTAGAAAAAGTTTTTGATTACTAGGATTTATTTTGCTCACACAAGATAGTTTAAATCGCCATATTATATTAACAATATAAATATTTACATAAGTATCTGAAACAAAAACCCTGTGATTTTTCTAAAGCTAAAATGATAGGTAACATAAGGAAATATTCATCTTTAGGTTTCTCATGTTAAACCACTTTGTGGGTGAACATAAATGCAGAGATGCCAACTGCTCCGGACAAGCCAAAATAATTAAAAAAAGCGGTAAATAATTACAAAGTAAATTTTGCATATATTTGACTATTTTTGCTTGCTTTTTTACAGGTATAGCATGACACAGGTTCTATAAAGAGGTGAATTATATAAGCCTACTTAACAGTGAGTCTTTTAAATTATTAACAAAGTTATGGAACCTTCAGTTTCAATTTTTTACCTCTTAATAAAATCATTTGTCGAAGAGGGGGGGCTTATCATTCCTGCTAAAGTAGATGCAAGTTGCTGGTAACGAAATAAATGATAAATAGAAATGTTCTTATTACCAATTTCTTACTTTTTCTAGATAAGAGCAGTCCTACAAAGTTAACGTTCTAATATTTTAATAAATTATAATTAAGAGAATTATGCCCAAATAACGACCGGATGGATAATAAATCAGGCTTTAATGTTCCAATGGAAGTTAAATAAAAATTTCTGTATTTACTCTCTAAGCTCTATGGTTGGATAAATAATTTTTGTGTCAAAAGTTTTAAGTCGGAGAGTTTGGATAGATGAATACTTACGATCCTATTGTAAAAATAAATATGTGTATTGTTATTATAAAAAAGTGGTAATCATGTATAGTTACTTTTTCCTATGAAGGAAGAAATATGAAATGTGATTACTGACAGTTTTTTTAATTATTATTTTCGTACCAATAACAGTCCTGAATGGCTGTACTGCATACCTGCCAACTCTTCCGGATTTTACGGAAGATTTTACTTTCATATTTAAAGTGGTAGCAATACTCAGGTTATTCCAATTAATTTCTTGAATTATAATGATAATTATAAATGAGTTTGACCACCACTACATATAACTAATTACAATAAATGTATAAAAGCATAATAACCCTTGCGCAAGCGAATTTCAACAGGATCAAAATATAAACATATTTTTGGGTCGGATTGTTTTTCGTTTACTGTTTTACAACCGCTCTGAAAATCCATTCTCGGAAAGAGTGAAAGTTGACAGGTATGCTGTACTGGTAAATAGCTTAAAGCACATTGCTTTCAACTATGACGCTCTTTGCTGCCAACTCCTCCGGGTTTTCGCAGAAGATTTTATTTTCATATTTAAAATGGTAGCGAAGCTCATGTTATTCCACAAAACTTTTTGGATAGTAATAATGTAAATGAGTTCGATCGCCACTACGTATAAATAATTTCAACAAATATATAAAAGCATAATAGCTCCTACCATAGCGAATTCCAACCTGGTCAAAATATAAATATACTTCTGAGTAAGATTGTTTTTCGATGATTGTTTTACTACCACTTGGAAAATCCATTCTCCGAAAGAGCGAAAGTTTGCAGGTAAGAACTTAAGTTTTTTCCAGTAATTTCAAGATCATAGCTGCCAACTTGTACGGCCATTGAAAAAAAATTTCTTAGTGGTTACATTAGCGTTTTGGCGAAAAAATTTTGAAGTTAAAATATTAAAAAAAATTTAACTACACAACAAATCAATAGATTAAAAAAAATATGTAGATCAAATCTGTTGGCTAATTTACGTTCATAGATGATGTTTATATAATTTGTTTTTTCGAAAATTCGTGTTGTTTTACTACCACCTATTAAAATATTATTCAATGACCATACAAGTTCGCAGGTATGGCAAAAAGTTCGCTTCAGTATTAATTTCTTGAACTATAGCTTTGACTATAAAAAAAAATCGTACAATAATTTCAGACATGAAATTCATTTGATAATGTTTTTATGGTCATCTTCAATTTAAATCTTTTGCTGCATTTTATAATAACTAGAAAAAACTCCCATTAAAAGCTTTAAATTGACAACTATGCAGGCATTTGTTTATTTCGATTTGTCAAATTTGGAAAAATACATTAAAAAATTTACAAAAATTTGTTTAAAGTACGGCAAATAAGTATGGGATTAAATTGCTAATTTAATACCATGATAATTACAAACAAATAAATGACCAATTACTAGCTCTTAACTCCTTAAAAGCCAAATTACTAATAAATGTTTTTTAAAAAGAGAAAGACTGAACTTTATTTCATTCTCATGATGAAACAAAACAATCGTTATCGCCAAAATTTATTAATAATACAAATTTCTATATTTGGATCTGAAAACAAATCATTGCATATTTTAAAACTAATTAGATGTTGGAGATTAGAATTTCTGAATAATCTGAACATAAATGTACTACCACGTTCTTCATAAAGTGATTTTTACGTTAAAACAAAATGTTGCTTTTTCGCGTCCATAATCTTAAATGGTTAAAAAAAATTTTTTTAAAAAGAAAAATTAACTATTTATGGTAGTAAATCTCACCGACTGAATAGCAAAATCATTATAGTTTAAATGTAACCATCATGTGATGGTTATATAATAATTTTTTATTAAGAATAAGCAGGAATTTGCAAAAGTATTGCTGCATTATAAGCATCTTTTAAGCTCTTAGAAATATTTTTAAAGGAAAAGTAGTTATTAATTTTAACAAATCCCTCCAGTTAAAATATAACAATGTCAATTTTATGAATTAACATTAAATTGTTTTCATAAAAATAATCGGCATTTAGCAAATAACGTAGTGCTGCATGGGTGAAAGCTCTTATATAGCAAGACGGAAAGGAGAAAAACCTGGTACGTAAAACATTTCATTCCAGCATTTTTTTCGAAAAAAATGAAATAACTGTAACTATCAAGATTTCTTTTAATAATTCTGGCATATATATAAAACTGCTTCTTTTCCAAGATAAAGTAATTATTGTTGAAAAATTTAAAAAAAGAATAAGTAAACTCCTCCCCAAAACTAGCTATAACTGAAATGGTTTTACTACCAGCCTTTCCTCTTTTCCGTCTCGCTTTCACCCCTGTAGTGCTGCATTATTTGTGTTTTGTAGGCGTATTTTTTTTTCGCAAAAATATTAAATAAATAAATTAATAATTTATACGAAAAAAATCTCTTCGTTTGTTTAACTCCACTCCAACAATATATTATTTATATAATGGCATACCTGCCAACTATTAATCCCTTCCATTATCATTCATGCCAGTGGTATTAAAATGGAATTAAAATTTCAATTTTAAGAAGAAGAAAAAAATGCGTTGCATTTGATAAAGCTCAAGAAGTCAACAATGATAGTAACGCATATTAATATATGTGCGTAATTTTTTTAAGAATAGTGGTGATCAAAATCATTTAAAAATTAAGTTTATAAAAGAAAAAATAATATATATTTACTACCACTTTAAATATGAAAATAAAATTTTACGCCAAATGCGTAAAAGTTGGCAGGTATGAATGGTATAAGATAATTCTAATATGAATATTCAACATCTTGCAAAGCATGCTATGCTGAATTATTTGCATTTAACGTTCTTTAAAAATTATATTCAGGGGAAATAGAATTATACATATCAATAAAATGCTCTCACCAATTGTGTAGCAAAATCCATCCAGTTGAAATGTAGCACTCTTGCACTTTTTTACTTGCCTCAATTCTTTGCGGGACATGTTTTTTGCCCTCGAACCCCACAAAAAATAAAGAAAAACTTCACAATTTAATTTTTTTTTCTTATATGAACACTTGCTGTGACAGTCACATTTTGAAAAAAAAATAGTTGCGCGCGGAAACTTCCGTTCCGCTACTGATTTTTCATTTGGCAATCTTTCCACTAACACCCTTGACACTTTTTGTTTTTGCACTCTCCTGTCAAAGCCACCACTATTTTTATTTTTCACACAACATCCAAGCTGCGTGAATGAATAGAGTGATTTTAGGCGATCCGTTCTCTTTCTGTTAAGCGACTGAGACAACGAACGAAAACGGAAACTAGCGCGTGCTGGAAACAAAATCCGGTAGAGGGCGCCCTCCTTCATTATTCGCGACAAGAAGGAAAGGATAAACTTGGAAGTTTCACAAAAGGAGCTTGACCTTTGGAAGCTCCCTTATTTCATGTACACTTCATATCGTCACTGTCAAAATGTTAATTATTTTAAGCATTTTAAATTGTTTTATCCTACTTTAATTTGCAATCAAAACTGTTCTTTTCGTAACTGAATTTATTATAAGAAAAATTGTAAATTCCTTGGAACCCATTACATTTAGACAGTTTAGCTTCTTTAAAAGACCATTAAAAACACACGGTAGAATTTGTAAATATAATGATGTTTTGAAATAAAAATGGAGGTATATATATTTGGAATAAAATGATGCATAAATGCACCGGTTTGAATTTTTCTCCTAACTTTCTTTTGTAATACGTAAGCAAAATTTCTAGTTGAAATCGTAGAAAGTAACTTCGTGGTTTTTAAATAGCTCCTACGCAGGAAAAAAAAGAACTTGTAGCAGAATTTTAAATTAAATTTTCCTTATACTGAAAGTAGAAATTTTCTTTCTACTTCTCTTTCTAACGCAGGGCAATTATTTTTTTTAATCCTTAGGCCATAGTAATTTATGTTGCATAAATGTTTTATTATTATTTTTTTTTTAAATTTAGATTATAAGATTGTTATTAGGTCAAGATTTTGATTAGGATTTAGATATAGATTACTATTAGAGCTATTATTTTTTTATACTTAAGCGATTGCAATTTATATTGTATCAAAAATAGAGAATGCTTTATTTTTTTTTTTTTTTAATTTAGATTATAAGATTATTATTATGTCAAGATTTTGATAAGGATTTAGATATAGATTACTATTAGAGCTATTATTTTTTTATACTTAAGCGATTGCAATTTATATTGTATCAAAAATAGAGAATGCTTTATTTCTTTTTTTTTTTTAAAATTTAGATTATAAGATTACTATTAGGGCATGATTTTGCTTAGGATTTAGATATAGATTACTATTAGGGTAATTAGTTTTTTATACTTGAGCAATTGCAATTTAGATTGTATCAAAAATAGAGAATGCTATATTTCTTTTTTTTTTAAATTTAGTTTATAAATCATTAAAGAATGAAACTTAGTAAGCTAAAATCCCTTTTAGGCAGATAAGAGATTGTATTTTATGCCAAGTTTACAACAACAGACTTCTATAAATTTCAGATTCAGTATTAATTAAAAGATATGAATAATAATTAATATTTTTAAATAGTTTTTGTCTCAGTGTGTTCATTGATGTGGGCTCAATTGAGCCAATTAACACTATTTTAAATTAATTAAGTGTGTGTTAATTGGTTCAATTAATTTTAAATCCAATTTTAAATTCTAAGATTGCAGGTACTTTTAAAACATTTTTTTGAACTACTATAAAAGGCACCTCCACCTGATCGCTTCGCTTATCAACCCCTTTGTATTCCTCTTTTTTTATTTCGTAAAAAGTTAATACTTTCTCAAAAACAAAGAAGATTTAGTTAAAAAACATGTAGTTATTATAATTGTATGTTGCAACATTTCCTTAATAATCGTAAACAAAATGTGTGACATAAAATGATGGATTTGTGGAAGTGATTTTCCTCGTTAACGCGAATTATTAAGAAATATGCTATTATTATTATTATTGTTAATATTATTATTATAGAAATTAGTATTATTATAAATTATTATTAGAAATTAGTATTATTATAAATTATTATTATAAATTTTATTAGTATTATTATAAATTATTATTATTATAAATATATGGAAAGATTATCTTCGTTAAATTAAGTATTTTATATTTTTTAAAAATTTCAATACCAGTATTAAAATTTATACCTATCAGCCTCTAATCTCTTTCTCTCTTTTTTTGTTGTAGTTGTTACTTTTGACGTAAACGAAAGTTTATAAAATGAAGATCTCGACAGTGAATGTTAAATGTTCGTACAATAATGAATACAAGAATTATTGAAGCAAAAAAAATGGAAGAAAAATTTGGTTGCAGAGTGTTTCACATAGAAATTCTCATTATAAGTTGAAGTTTAAATATATCTCGGATTTATCATTAAATTTTAATTTTTTTTTATTCTACCATATTTTCTGAACACGCCCGTTTTCAATATCATATTTCTAAGTCTAATAGATTTTGAACAAAAAAAATATTACGTAAATTTGAACCCTGAAAAAAGAGGCAGTGGTTTTTATGATTTTATAATATAGAGACGATAATAATACTTTCGGATTTGAAAAATTCGTACAATTTTAAAACTTGCTAATTAAGTTCATTCTAAGGTATTTCAGTGAATGAAAAAAAAAGCAAATTTAGTTTCCAAAATGTTAATTAGATAATTAGTTTATTAGATAACAGGAAGATAATTGCGTTCATTTAATTACCTGTTAGGTGGAACGCAGGAAATAAAACCTCTCGCAGATTCTAAAAAGTGTAAACTGTTTTAAAAATTTAAATATTTAATTTTGAGTAACTGCAACGAAGAAAAAACCACGTTTTAAAATTATAAAAATAAAAATATGGACTCTTACATTAATAAATTGAAATTAACTTTTAATAATATCTAATCAAATAAAGCATTTTGTGCTAAAAATTATTAAAAAGAATTTTGATTTTTTTTTCTTCATAAAAGTGCTTACAATACGGTTTAGAACAATTATTATTTAAAATAATTTCAAAACAGCTTCGATCACAATAGTTTTGCAAATTTATAGTTATTTTTCAAAAAAATTAAAAAAAGTATATTTACAAAGTTTGCATTTTAAATTCTAAAGGTTGAAATGATTTTATGTGCCATTTTTATCCAGACTTTACATTCGAACAAAATTTTAAGAATTAGAATGAATGAAAAATGTTTGTGTAAGGGAAAATATTTAATTATGTGCAATTAAAGACATTTATTAATTAAAAGCTAACTGAATAACCATGTATCTTTTTTAGGAAAATCTGAACAAAAATTATTTTAAATGTTTTTACGCAAAAATAATTAGATTGCGTACCATACAATAATTCAAATAAAAAAGCTTAATATAATCATTTCAAGATCTTCTATTCCTTTATAACGTATACAAGATTTTAATTAATATGTTTGTTATCACCTATTTTATATCACTTCATTTCTTGTTCGAAAAATTTAAGTATTTTTAACGCTTTAACGCACAGTTGCGAAAAACATACACCTGTGCCTATTTTTTCTTTTTCTGACGCTCTAATCACAAGCAAAAATATATTTTGGTATTTTTTGACTATAAAAGAAAACAATCTAGTAGTTACTAAACAAATCTCCTAGATTATTGGAATTGTATTTGCACTAAAATATAAAATCAAGTATAAGTAGTTTGAAAAAAAAATTTGCTTATTAACATTGAAAAATTTATGATAATTGATTTTGAAAATGAAAACATTCATTGAATAACTGTTTCTCTCAGATTTAACTGCAAATGAGTGCAAATTAGAAAAATTATTGATTTGAAGTGAGCCGTATTTGAAGATCTTTCCTTTAAAGCAGAAAAATTCCCCAGTGTATTATACTATATTTCCTAACCCTAAATTGATACACTAAATCTAATTTGTTTAACTTATTTTGACCTTAACTCATTTAAAGTATTAATGAAGAAAGTAAGAAAAATGTGTTTAAAAATTCTGCGTCAAAAATATAAGTCCTCTGTGTGTAAAATAAAAGGGGTAGGCTAGTGTACTCAATTCATATAAATTTGACAAATAAGCTTATTAATCATTACTATGAATCTTTAACCTTCATTTTAAATCATAGATAAGCTAATATGGATGCTTATTTTAATATTTTTGTAAGTTTTGTCCCCATGACATGGGACAAGTATGGACACGTCGTAAAACGTATTATTTTCTCCTTTTGTGCATATAAAAAAAGCTAGTAAAAACAAAATGGTACCAATTTAGGCCTAAAATTACAATCCTGACATAATAATCTTAAAAATAATTATGATAAATAATTTTAAAACCAAATAAATTCATACAAACTTTTTCTGTATCAGGGAAAGAATTGTCTTGAACAGTTAATGTGGTAACAAATATTTTTATTAGATATTTCATGTTTGATCTTGGAAGTTTTTTACAGTCTAAGAAATATTTAAAATATGGCGACGAATACAAATGTTTTGCTAGGCTGTCCAAAACTGTAAAAGTATTATTTTCTCAAGATTTTTTTTCCATCAGTATTTTTTTAAACATTTTTCCAGAATGTGGACAGACGGAAGAGAGAAGTTGATTTACAATGATTTTGCCATCGCAATAAAAATAAAACAAGAACAATTAAAGTAAGTGATAATAAATAATAAACTTTGCTAATCCTACAGAGATGCCAACTGCTCCGGACGTTCCAGAATAATAAAAAACACGGTATATAACTACAAAATAAATTTTGCAAATATTTGACTATTTAAACTACTTTTTTAAAAGGTTTAGCATGACATAAATAATTTTAATTGGTAAATTATATAAGCCTACGAATTATTTAGAAATAGTGGTGGATAAAAATCTACTAAATTGAATTTATTAAACCAAGAATCACAATTGATAAACTTCCATTTAAAAATATATATTTGCCGTCCGGAGCAAGTTGGCTCTTATCGTAACTTTTGTCACAACTTAAAAATTTTTTTCATACCTGCCACTTTTTCCGAGAAAGAATTTCCCAAGTGGTAGTAAAACAATTACCGAAAACAATCTTACTTAAATTAAAATTTGGCCTTGTTTGAAATTCGCCTGCATTAATAATATTTGGCTTTATATATTTGTTGTATTTATTTTTATGTAGTGGTGGTCAATTTCATTTATAATTATTATTATAATTCAAAATGTTCGACGGAATAGATCGAGTAACGCTACAAATTTAAATATAAAAACAAAACCTGAAAAAAATTGTATCGATGATGTTGTAAGCTAGAATTTCCGCAGCTGAAAAATTTATATATTTGCATCAGGATTCCTATAGCTCGTAGAAAAATTTAATAGCGGTAACGTATATATCATAGATTTGGAACCTTTAATAAATTTGCGGTTCCCAATATGAGTTATTTTTTTTGAAGAAAGCTGGGAAACTATGAGAACCGCACAGTAACAGACCTCTATACATTAAAATGATATCTTTAACACTTTCATCTCGGCAAGAGCACGCTTCGCTTTCACCTTCAGTGCTAAAATTGAAACGCAAAGCAAATG